ATAATAAAAATGCTGATCATTCTTATAGCACTTACTCCCTTCTCTTGGTATTTTACATAAATCCAAGTTCAACAAACACTAACCAAAAAACAGTCAAACAAACTGAAGTGATAGTCTTAAATAAGGTTAAACAAAAAACAAAAGTGGAGAAGAATAACCGTTGCTCTTGCCTAATTTCAATGAAAGTAACAGAAATAATGGGGGGGAAAAAACAAGAACAGAAAAGCGGTGTCGTTGCAATACAGATAGTAGCTACAACATGTTCACGTGATAAAGAAGCAGAGACTCACCAGGCAGGAGTCGTATCTTCAGAGACTGAGACTGTTCCAGTCCAGGCACTGACACAGTCAGGTTGAAACTCTGAGAGGAAAAGTCAGGGAAACATGACGTAATATAAGTGTGTCGTGACATGGTGTAATGAGGCGCTCGTCAATTTTTGGGCATATGGAGTTATAGGTATAATCTTTTTTATTGGTATAATCTTAAAACCTTTTCACTTGCCTTGCTTTTGATGAAAAAGAGGATAATGATGATGACGCTGACACCAGGCCGTAATGAAAAAGATAATGATAATGATCATGGGGACCATGAGATTCAGTTTTAGTTTTAGTAGAGGTTTTACAGCGCTCGCAACTGCATACAGTCATATGAGCGCCAGAAGATTAGGTGTTACAAGAGAGTAACAAACATAAAAAAGAAGAAGGGGAAATAAGGATGATAGATGTTTCATAGGAAACAAACTACACCAGAGCACCCGCCAACCACCCACTCCATGAGATTCAGAATAATTACAACAATGGAGAAAAATGATGATGGTACAAATGATGAGAATGACAATGAAAGCAATGGTAATTATGATGATGGTGATAATAATGATGAAACTACACAGCGTTTTCTCTCTCACTTAGCTCTTTATGAAGCTCTATATGATGAACTTAATTTTGAGTATTTGGTCAATTCCAATGACACTAAACTACCAAAGTCTCCTAAATTTCACAACTTTTCAACACTGATGATGATGATGATGATGATGATGATGATGATGACGATGATGATGATGATGACAAGATAAAGAAGAAAAAGAATTTTTAAAAGAAAAAGAAAGACAAAAAAAGAAGAAAATGAATGGAGAGGACAGAAGACAAAGAATACACAGATAACCAAAAAAGAAAAAAACCCACATAATAAGAAAAGAAAAGTAAAGATAGAAAAAGAAAGAAAAAAAAGAAAAAGACAAAAGAAGGCAAAAAAAAAAAGACCAAGAAAGAACAAAAATAAGCGACGACAAAAAGACAGAGAGAGACAAAAGTGTAACCAACCACCTCTGCCTTCACAACCCTACCACCACCACAATGTGCTTACTTTGCCAGCAGCAGTGTTGACCGTTCCCTTGGCGACCACGCCCTTGATGTAGCAGTTGTTTCCCTTGACCTGTGTGTTCTCATAGCTCAGCTCCAGACCACTGGGGGGCGGTGGTGGGGGGAGGTGGAGATCATGGTGGATGAGAGAAAAGTGTGAAAAAAGACACAAGGCCAAAAGAAGAAAAAAATAAAAGACATTTAGTTTTAGTAAGGTTTTACGGCGCTCGCAACTGTATAAGGTCATATGAGCGTCAAGGGGTGGATGTCAACAGAGAAGTCCAAACAAAAGTCTGCTTCAACTATCAAGGCACCCCAGAAAGAGCAGTTCACAAGAGAGTGACAAACATACAAAAGAAGTAGAGGAGAAAATTACGATAGTAAGGATGAGGAAAGAAAAAGCAGCCATTCCCTCTATGTTGTTCCGGCACAGTATGAGCATGACATTGGGGGGAAATGGGGGGGGATAACGAGGATAAAGGAGGAGAGATAAAAGTGTGAAAACGGGAACAAGGCCACAAGAATAAAAACCAAAAGAAAACAAAGTTCATAAATCTTCTAAGCTGCAGTGTCACTTACAATCTTCTTCATTGAGCTTGCTCCCCTTTCAAAATCTCAGAGGTAGCTAACAGCTGGTTCTTCAAGCTGAAGTGCAAATGATCTTTTATGTTTACGACTATTTTTCCTATTTCGCAGGGCTCCTTGCCTTCAACTTTAAAGCGGCCACACTGCGATTTGGAAACACATGTACTCTCTGTATTTCATTTTTTACACCACAGACTCTGGTCAAAGTGTTTCTTACAAAAAGGGATTCTGTATACATTGCACAGGTGAATTCAATGCTTAGATCTACAATAGACTGAAAAAGTAAATGCACTCCAAAATAAAAGTATGCATACACTCTTGGAGAATATTGTAACAACAGGCATGTTTCTAGCAGAAAGACAAAGATACTCAAAGAAAAATATCTTCCTAGGCAGGAATTAAGCTCAAGTCCATAGCACACAATGTCAAAAAACGAGAGGTGCGGAGAGACAAACAGGCAGAAAGAGGACACAGATAGAGAGAATGAGAGAGAGATAGAGACAGAAACATGGAAGATGGAAAAAGAGACAAATAGAGAGAGAGACAGAAAGAGAAGGAAAGAAAAAAAAGCAGACACAGAGACAGAAACAGAGGGAAGATGGGAAAAAGAGACAGAGAGAGAGACAGAAAGAGAGGGAAAGAAAAAAAAAAACAGAGACAGAAAGAGAAAGGAGAGGCGTTAACTCACTCAGCATCCAGGATTGGCTTCAGTTTCTGCGGGGGCCGTGTAGAGTTGTTGTAGCGGTCCTGGAACTCCAGTGGAATCTGGAATGGAACCCCGACCTTGAAGGGCCCGTCCAGAAGACCCACGGTGAAGTGCTCGGGGTCAGCCTCTGGTCAGGGACAAACAGGAAATCAGAGGGATAATTACAGCTCTTACAAGACACCACTAGTATATTCTTGGTTTTTCTACCCCCTATTTGAATTCAAAACTTTTTATACTTTTGATATCCGTGAATTCAAGCGGTTCACAAAATGCTAAAAGAAACACTACTGCATTGGAATCCAAATAGATATATATATATATGACACCAGGTGACTCAAAGTGCAAATTCAAATCGAAATGAGCGAAACGCAAATGAAAGAAACTAAATCATTTGTCCAGCCTAAACTTGGAGTAAACGTCACTCTCACTATCTCACACAGTCACTCCCTCATTCTTCACAATATCTGCAAACTAATCAAAGACAATGCAGCCCTCTCCCTCTACCCCCTCCCCCCAACCCACTCTTGTTAATCAAAACAACATGAAACAAAACACACAAAAAACTTGGTAACATAATCAAAGCCCAAATATGAGACCAGCACATATGAAAAAAATAAGCTACCAAAATTGCCATTATGGCCTCACCGTTGACGGAGAACTTGATCTTGGCAGAGGGCAACTCGCGACCAGCAAACATGTTGTTCCCCGACTCATTGAGCACTGTCTGCAGCAGCAGTGTGTAGTTGCCCAGGTTTTTGGCACTGTCTGTTCAACATACACGCATACATCAAGTCATAACATACAAAAAAGCTAACATAGCTGTGAGTATGTATATGTATGTATAGTATAAGGTTTTACGGCGCTCGCAACTGCTAAGGTCATAGCTGTGAGTGAGAATAAATGTAACGACAATTGTACATTGTGGACAAGCTGTTCTATGGTTCTCAGCGAAGAACAGAAGTAGTTGCTATAAAAATGCACTTCATTATTATCATTATTATTATTATTAAGAAAGTAATGTTTATCAGAAGCAAAAAAATCGGTTTCATTCTTTTTAAAATAGTTAATAAATTATGTACCTTTTCTGGCCTTTTTCAGCTTTAAGAATGAATTTCGATCAAATATTTCAACGGCACGTGCAACCGATACCAGAGATTTACATACTGTAAAGAAAACATTTCTTGCAAATTATGCTTGTAATGATAATTGTAAATGATACAGTGCATCTGCACAGGTGATTATAAATCTTTGATAGGTGGCCGTTTGAGCAAGACAAGCAGTGTTTGCCTTCCCGCTACATCTACTAACTCGCGAATACCACTTACCCATCTTCTTTAGTTTAAGTAAGAGTTTTACGACACTTGCAACACAATAAGGTCATATTATAAGTGCCGAAGATTAGAGGTGTTACAAGAACGTAACAAACACAAAAAAGGAGGAGAGACAGGGACGATAGATGTTTGATAGGAGGAAGGAAGGAGCAAACCACACCAGAGCACCCGCCAAGCACCCCCTTACCCATCTTCCTGAACCAGTAGGGCCAGCTCTTGCCGTGTTGGGACAGCAAGGACACCAGACGTTCATCGCCATGGGGGGCTGTTGGAGGAGTATAAGCATACACTTAATGAGAACATCATCATCACTATCATCATCATCTGCACACACCTGCGCACAGGCACACACACACACACACACACACACACACACACATAAACACACCTGCACTTATACACACACACACATACACATATACACACACACACATGCACACACACACAGACACATACATACACACCCACACAAACCTGCATCTGCACACACCTGTACACACCTGCACACAACTGTAAACACCTGCACACACCTGCACACACCTGCACACACACACAGCATTGTGGCATTTTTCTAACAGTGGCATACAAGGGTGAGCTTCATACAAACACACACACAAACATACACTCACAAATACAAATACATACAAGTGCACAGAGCACACACACACATACACACACACACACACACATACACACACACAAATGTCCCTCACAGTGCCATATAAGTGTTAGTTCCACCAGCAGCTTCTTGGAGTTGGCGATGGAGTGTGGGATCTTGGAGATAGTCTCCCCTCGCTTGTTGCAGATCTCCACCCGGAGGTCGCCTGAGGAGGTACACAACGCGAAGAAAGAAAAACTGTTTATTGCGCCAAAAGTCGTCTACTGCAAGTCAGCGCCATTAACCACCACAGTTTATTCTTCATCTTATAATTTGGTTTTTTTTATACAAAATTTTCATTTCTCTTCCTTACAAAGGTGCGATGAAAATTTCCCAAAAAAGAAAATTTCTTTATTTTAAAAAAAACCCACCATGTCACAACCCCAGTGTTTTCTTGTCGTATCTACATTTTTAATAACAGTGAAAACAGTACAAAACAAACAGTGAGCTTAACAAGATGGCACATTTTCAGTGTTATAAAAAAAAGGAGAATCGACAAGAAAAGACTGACGTCGCGATGTGAAAAAAATGTCCTTATTAGAACAACAAAAATATTTGAAGAAAATTCCATGACACAACAGAAAGAAAACAATGTTATGAATTTTTTTTTTTAAATAGATGAAAATTTTCCTGAAAGAAAAAAATTACAAAGATGTTTTTCCTTCATCACCAGACAGGATAACAGCCAGGTCACTCACCAATGGTTTTCCCTGCCGTCCTCTTTTCGTTGGGGATCACAGGCATCCCGTTGGGCCAGGAGACCACCAGGTGGTCTGGGAGTCTGGACAGATAGATACATACACAATGGTCATTAAAAATGCTTCTTAGTTTTTTAGTTTTCTTAACCCTATCCATATATATCCATATGTCGTGTTTTACTATCGTATCCATATGCCGTGGGGAACTCAGAGCCCCCACTCTCCAAAGAAGAAATTTTCTGATTAATCCGATCCGTACGCTTTGAATAGCAGTCGGTCAAAATGATTTTTTGAGAAATACTGAAAGTTTCAAAGAGATCTTCGCACTGGAAGTATTCAGAAATGTGAAGAATACAACCCCGGGGGTACAAAACATTTTACAACACTTGAAACACAAATGGGTTATATGAGTGCAAAAGACTAGAAATGTTATGAGAGAGTAACATAAGAAGAGAAGGAAGGTGAGAGATAAGGATGACAGATGTCTGATTGGGAAGGATCAAACCTAGACATTCTAACCACTCCACGTTTTCCTCAGAACTTTCCCTAAAAATCAGAGTATGGCGGGGAAATTGGAGTCTCCGGAACCACAGAAGTTAAGATAACTCAACACACCAAAAGTGGGGGGAAAAAACGTGTATTGTTCACATACACATATAAAAATGTGTATTTCAAGTTATTTATGAAACACCATGCAAATATTGCAAATAAACCAGTGTATTTTCACATCATTTATGATAAGTTACAAAATACTGTTGGAGATAGGAATCAGAATTCAAGGAAAAAGCCGAGAATCTTTCTGAGAGTTCTAAGGCCTACTGGGGTAATAATAGTTGTAAAGTGCTTGGAGTCTGATATAGAACGTGGGTATACGCTATATAAATGCAATTATCATAATTTATAATGAAATTATTTTTTGCGCTCTCTCTCTCTCTCCCTCTCTCTCTTTCACAAACACACACACATACATGCACACACACACGCACGCACAAATGCACATACACACGCCAACGCAAAAACAAAATGGTTCATTAATCAGAAAGAATACTCACTTGGTCTCTTCCTCCTCTATGTACTTCTTTATCTGTGCCACCGAGGCCCCCCTGTCCAGCCGGTTCAGAGCAACAAACTTACGCTCTGTGTACAGCGACTGGGGCTCCTGAAGACAAGACACAAAGGTCGCATGACAGGTCACCAGTTAAAGGACAAGACAAAAAGGTCATACGGTCAGACTCCTCGAATCTCTCATTGTGCAAAGCCACTGGTGATGAAAAGTTGCCCATTTTCAAAAAGACTAATTTTTCATATGGAAGGGGAAGGGAGAAGGGAGAATTGGAGAGACAGAGAGAGATAGCGAGAAAGAGAGAGAGTGAGGGAGAGAGACAGACAGACAGACAGACAGACAGACAGACAGACTGAGAAGTAGTCAGAAAAGGGTAAAAGAGAGAGAGAGGAGAGGAAAATCAAGAGGGAAAGTGACGTGAACATTAATTGAACAGCCTACAGAATATTTTGCATTACAGGAGCTCAAGAAAGCACTCTTCTCATTTCTTCCACAGGAGGATTAATAAAGTATTTCCTATCTTACCTTGTTAAATATCATTCTGACCAAAAACTTGTGTCTAAATTTCTCCAGTATCTCACCTGTAGGATCTCGATGTCTCCCCCCATGGCAAACACATCCCCCTGGTGCTCCCCCGACAGGTAGAAAGCCTCAATAGTGCCGTGGAGAGGCGGGGTCGTACGCAGGACACGAACCTGGGAAAAAAAAGAAAGAATGCTCGTGACAAAATTTATGCTAGTTTGACTTTGTTTTAGTACAGAGGCGCATACTGACACAATAATCACTAGTCAACACTAAAGTTTTAAAAGAATTAAACAGCTTTTTTCTTTTTTCTTAAACTTTCTCTGAGCTCAGCACATTTGAACGGCTTGCCAATAACATGTCAGTGTTATGGTGTTTACTCGTAAGTTGCTGGTCCACCGGACCGAGTCCTCAAGTAATACGTGATAGCCTCAGCTCAAAAACAGGGAGCTGCTCAGGGACAAGCAGAACTGACATGCTTGTAAGATTATTTATGTCCGTAAGATATTGCATTTTAGGCAAAGATGATGAATTTTATTGTAAAAATGTATTGCAATAACTGCAGTAAACACCAAATTTCCCCTTGAGGATCAGTAAATCAGTAAATGGTAAAAGTTGGGGGGGGGAGGGTGTGTTGTGTTGTCCTTTTAAAACACAGTTGACAAAATAAAGATACAAACATTTTACAGATCCATTTGAGAAAGTCAAAATCAAAATTCAACAGTTTGAATTCCAAATGTTGAAACTTTTTTTAACACAACATTTTTTTGCCTTTTCACCCAATAACTGCAAAGCTGAACTCACCATCTGTCCCTTCTCGTAAGTGCGAGCGTCCCACTCAACGCGGTCAAAGCGTGTCCAGGGCGTCTGTTTCTGCTTGGGGAGGTCGAGGCGGGGTCGTAGGCCCGAGTTGCCGGAGAAGAGAATCTGCTTGTCGTGTTCCTCGTTACACTCCTTGAGCCAGGACTGGAACTCCCGCTCTATTTGGGTGCGTCGTTCCTGTCACACACACACACACACACAGACCGACACATACACAGATTCACACACAGACACACATACAGACACACACAGAGACACAGAGACATACAAGACACACACATAGACATACATACAGCCACACACAGACACAAATAGACACACACACAGAGACACATACAGACACACAGAGACACACACAGATACACACACACAATCACAGAGACAAGGGATGGGGG